TTTTTCCCGCGCAAATTCATAACTCGGGGTTCTGAGATGCTGGAAAGCTGAAATTTTAGGGGAATGGTCCCCGTCCAAGCAGATGCCAATGGGCTCAAATCCAGCCCCCGGATAAGCGTGGTACCCATGTACGGGCCCCCCAAAATTTTTCCCGCGCAAGTTCATAACTCGGAGTTCTGAGGTGCTAGAAAGCTGAAATTTTAGGGGAATGTTCCCCGTCCAAGCAGATGCTAATGGGCCTGAGAAGCTAGAAGGCTGAAATTTTAGGGGAATGTTCCCCGCCCAGGCAGGTGCTAATGAGCTCACCCAGCCCTCGGGTAAGCGTGGTACCTACGCACAGGCCCGTGAAAAGTTCCTTCCGGGTAAGTTACTGACTCGATTATGCTAGAAAGCTGAAATTTTAGGGGAATGTTCCCCGTCCAAGCAGGTGCTAATGAGCTCAAATCGGTGCTAGAAGGCTGAAATTTTAGGGGAATGTTCCCCGTCCAAGCAGATGCTAATGGGCTCAAATCCAAACCCCCGGATAAGCATGGTACCCGTGTACGAGCCCCCCCAAAATTTTTCCCGCGCAAATTCATAACTCGGGGTTCTTCCGGGTAAGCGTGGTACCCGTGTACGGGCCCCCCAAAATTTTTCCCGCGCAAATTCATAACTCGGTACGTACAGGCCCGTGAAAAGTTCTCTAATGGGCTCAAATCCAGCCCCCGGGTGAGCGTGGTACCCGCGTACGGACCCCCCAAAATTTTTCCCCTCGATAACGTGAGGAGCTAGAAGACTGGAATTTTGAGGGGATGTTTCCTGACAGTTCTGGCGGCTCGGGTAAGCGTGGTACCCGCGTATGGGCCCCCCAAATTTTTTCCCGCGCAAATTCATAGCACGGGGTTCTGAGATGCTAGAAAGCTGAAATTTTAGGGGAATGTCCCCGTCCAATGCTAATGGGTGAAATCCAGCCCCCGGGTAAGCGTGGTACCCGCGTACGAGCCCCCCAAAGTTTTTACCGCGTAAAAAAATCCAGCCCCCGGGTAAGCGTGGTACCCGTGTACGGGCCCCCCAAAATTTTTCCCGCGCAAATT